AGAAGAAGAAGAAGAAGAAGAAGAAGAAGAAGAAGAAGAAGAAGAAGTTTGCATTTGTCTGTGTGTGAGTTTGTGCTCACAAATGAGATAGATAGCTAGATAGGTAAGTAAATGGATGGATGGATGGATGGGTGGGCAGATAGCAACTGTTAGGGTAGGAATGAACTGAGATTGTGAATGTAGCTGACGAAGTAGGTTGAGGGATGCTTGTATTTAATTTTAGGCATGCTGGTTTTGAGAACTGCATTAGGCATTCAAGGACAGGGAGGTAGTCTAATGTCCATGTGGTCTAGACTGAAAATGTAAAGTGGGTAATTGTTGCAGCGATCCTCCTGTCTTTGATTTCCAAGTGCTGGGATTACAGGGATGTGCCTCCATGCCTGGCTCACTCTTTAATACACTTTCTGAAACACAAGACATACCGTGTAATTCACACAGTGACCAACTAAAGAACTGTTAGTATAGTCACAGATTTGTGTGACCACACAGTCAATTTCAGGACATTTTTTCATCACCCCAAAATAAAGTCCATACCCTTTGGCTATCATTTTTTTTCCTTCTATGTCTGTTAGCCCTACGTAACCCCTAGTAGGTTTATTCACTGAATTATATGGTCCTTTTTGACTGGCTTCTTCCACTTAGCTCATTTTCAAGGTCCCTCAATGTCATGGCATGAATGATGCTTTTTTTAACTGCCAGATAATAGTTCACAGCACTTCTCTGTCTCCTTACGGTTGGCTATTTTCCGTGTTCTTGGTTACAGCTATCCTACCACACAGGACATGATTAGTTCCTTGCTAATTTCCCTATCATTACATGGCTTCTCTCTCTCTTCAATTTTAGATGGAAAACATTACTTTTATCTACATCTAACATTGCTTAAAATTTAAGTCTGTGAGTGGGTGTGTGCATGCCTGAAATATACATTGGATCCCATCAATATCTTCCAAATGTTTTGGTTCAAAGGTCAGGGATGTGACTCTGTGGTAGAAAGTTATTTTAGCAGCTGTGAAGCCCTTGGCTCAGTCTCCAGAAGTGAAAGATCAGGTAACTAAGCAGGAAGCAGTCAGGCCCAGGGGTGAACATCTGTAATCTCAGCACTACAGGAGGCTGAGGCAGCAGGATTATTTGAGCCCAGCCTGATTTTATGCAGTGAGTTTGGGGCCAGCTTGGGCTACATATCAAGACTCTGCCTAAAACAAAACAGTACAACAACAAAACAAACTGCTGGTGGGACACAGCATTCAGGAGGCAGAGGCAGAAAGGTTAGTTCAAGGTCATCCTCAGCTCTAACTCTAGTTTGAGGTCAGCCTGGGCTATGTGAGATCCTACATCTCAAATAACCTGAAAAGACTGAGCAAAAACTCAACTCCCCAAGCTCCCAAACCCAACCTAAAACCATCACTCAAGATTCTGGTAAATGCCAGCCAGGTGCAGTGGCACATATCTGTAATCCCAGCACAGCACTTTGGGAGGCAGAGGCAAGTGGATCTCTGTGATTTCGAGGCCAGCATGGTCTACAAAGTGAGTCCTGGACAACCAAGGCTACACAGAAAATCCCTGTCTTGAAAAACGAAACAAAACAAACAAACAAACAAAAGATTCTGTTAATTTCCCATGCTCCCATGCCTAGTTTATGGAATGACCATGTAAAGGAGATACTGAAAATATCAGCCCCTGAGAACCCATTTTGTGCTGTTCCCAACATCTAAAACTGGTTGATATGTGACATTTCCCCTGTGAAGGTGACGGAGTGAGGTTTTACAGCAGGTGCCTCTGGAAGGTTTTGGCTTCAGCCAGTCCAACTGAGGCAATTACAAACTCCAGATTTAAGATATCACAGAGCAGTCCTTCTCTTTCTCTCCTTGTCTTGGGGTGCTACGATCCTTTAAAAACAGCTAAAAAAAACCCCCAAAACAAAAACAGCAACACATAGTGTCTGTGACTGAAACAATAAAACAAGGAGACAGGGAAAGGATTCTGGGGAGGATTCTTCTGGCAGGCTGCCGGGAAGCTGAAAGGGTTCTGACAGAGGTGTAGCTAGTAGAGGCCTGAGGTTAGTTACTTACTTATGTAAATCTGTGCTGGGAAAAAAAGCTCAGGGGATCCACCTCCTTTAACTACTCCGAGAAGCCATTATGAGTGATGAAACTCTGGCTCTGAGAAGCAATGGGAAAAAAAGTGCACGAAGCAGAGACAGTTGAGCCAGGGAGTGGCTGCAGAAGGAAGAGGATGATTCAGGTTTTGGGAGCGAAGCCTTGGGAGCTGTTTTGGGAGAGCATACACCTAAGTTAGTGCGGGCTGTGATTCTCTCAGCCACTGAATTCCTTGAATCCTGGAGGAAGTTAGATTAAGACACTGAAATCAGAGTAGTCTCTTTGGTTTTGAAGCATGGTCAGGTGACATTTTGTGTTATGAATGCATGTGTGTGTATATGCGAGTGTGTAAGCTGGAGGAGTCATGAAATAGCATCTTTGATAGTATATTGCGGGAGGGTTTCTCACATGAACCTAGAGCTTGTTGAATAGTCTTTCCTGGGGAACTCATTGTGCTTTCCCAGAAATTATAGGTGATGTTAGCATTTATGTGGGGTTAAGGAAGAGCTTTGTTCACCGGGTCATCCCCTCTTTTCCCCAGTGTCTTTGGAAGTGCAATCCACCTTTCAGTTTTTATGGACAGGGTCTCTCACGGGCTCAGAACTTCCCAAGCATGCTACCCTGGCCAGGCAGCAAGCCCCAAGGGTGTGTCTCCATCTCCCCAGTGCTGCTATATGTGAGTTCTGGGTGTCATCCAGGTTCCGCATGCTTGCATGGCAGGTACTTTACCTACTAAGCCATCCCTCTGGCTTCACATCACTGTCAATCAAAAAGCAGGGAAGTGCTGGTGAAAGAGAACAGGCTTACAAGTCGCAGAAACTCAAGACAATTGTGTCCAGCATCCATCAACTGACATTCTCCAGCAGCTGTCTCTTGCACAAGAAATCTGTCCAATCCATCCAGCTTTTCGCAGATTTGAGGATGACAGGTTTTGGAGATGGAAGATACTTTGGAGGCTACTTTAGTAGCCTTTAGTAGAGAGAGGCTCCTGTCGTGGCCTTAATGTCACTGCCCAATTCCAGCTATGTCATTTCTGTAACTGTCCCTCTGTTCCCAAGCTAACAAGGACAGACCGTGTGACGCAATACTCAAGATCCTTGGCTTGTGTTCAGTGACCAATCTTGAGCACGGTTCTTTAATAAGGGGCTGCTGGAGGCCTGGAGCTAATGCTACCAGGGCCCCCAAAGTCCAGCCAGACCAAGTTGCAACTGCTCAACCAACAGCCGTACTGACTGAACAAGGTGACCAGACTTCCCACCTATTCCAAAGCGGCTTCTCTTCGAAACACTCAAAGAGTCTGCGAGGCAAGCATAACCACTCTCACTCGACAGAGGTGTAAACTGAGGCAACGGCCAGCACCTCCAGGAGCACACACCCACCACGTGCTGAGGTGTACACAGGAGGCTAAATCAGAGGCGGGAGGTGAGGCCCACCGGGTCTGCTGCCCAGGCCCGCCCGCCAGCCGAGGCTCGCACCCGACCCACAGGGCACAAGCGAGCACTAGACCGCAGGCGGTCCAGGCCGGGCACAACGGAAGTATGCGCGGCCGAGGGAGCGCGCGGGGGAACGTGCGTACGTGGGAGAAACCGGGACACAGACCGGAAGTGTGTGCGGCGGAGGGAGCGCGCGGGTATGGGGGCCGGAAGCGTGTGCCGCGGAAGGAGCGCGCCCGCCGCGGCGCTGGAGGCGCAGGCCGGAAGTGTGCGCGGCCGGGGGCATCTCGGCGGCGGACGCAGCTCCGTAGTGAGGCTGCGTGTAGGCTCGGCTTCCGGCGGCGGCCTTCGGCGACCAGGGCCCTGTGCGCTGCTAACCTTCGGGCTCTTGCCGCGCTCCTCGGCGTCCGGCGACGGCCCGTTCGCTGCGCCGGCCCGGCGGCTGCGGTCCCTGCGCGTGCGAGCCAAGGCCCCGCGGCCATGAGCGGCAAAGAAGGTGCGGGCGCCCAGGGCGTGGAGGGGAGGGCCTGCAGCCTTGTGGCCCTGCTCGGCTGTCACCGCGCTGCAGGCTGCCCCGGTGCCCCCTGCACACCGGCCTCGGGGACAGCCCCCTTCCTTGAGTCTCGGATCCGCGCCTTTATCTGAGCCCTGCGCCGGGGCACGTCCGGGTCATGGCTGGGGAGGCGGCCCGGGAGGCCGGGCCCTGCGGGCACCGGGCGGAGGAAGGGGGTGGCCTGGGTGGCCTGGGCTGTGTGAGCGCGACAATGGAAGGGCGCTCTCCAGCTCTCCCTCTTTTCTGCGTAAGGACCAGGAGGGTTCAGGAAGAGGAAGCATGACAACTTCCCACATACCCAGAGGAGGGAAGGGAAGGATGTCAGTTCGTCTTCGCCGGTGATGTTGGCCTTCAAATGTAAGTTCCCGTAAGGAGACGCGTCGTCGTAGTGTGTTTGTGTCAGGGGGCGGCTAGGCCATGGTTGTAAAGCTTAGTTTTCCCGAATTGTTTGTGTTGGTGCTAGGTCTGGCCTGAAGAATCTGTATTCCAAAGGTTCAGATAACAGAATCAACCTGTCCACGTTAATACACTAAGATTGTCAGTGTACCAGTGTCTACAACGTTTACTAATAGTTCCTGTTCTTTGTTGTTGTTTGTTTGTTTTTTAGAGACAGGGTTTCTCTGTGTAGCTCTGGCTGCCCTGGAACTCTGTAGACTGCACTGGTCTTGAACTCACAGAGATCCATCTGCCGCCGCCTCCCAAGTGCTGGGATTAAAAGCGTGCACCACCACTGCCCAGCTAATAATTAGTTCCTATTCTGTGCAAAGTGCTACCTCAAAATAAATTTTGTCTGTGCCAGTGTAGTTAACCAATGAAACACACGCCAAATATAAATATATGTGATAGGAAGTGGTGAGAAGATGATGTTACATACAGGATAGTTGTTAAGAGTGTGGGATATTTCCTTATTAAATAACATTAAATGCTTATGTGGAACTGTTTACCTGTTTACCGATGTTAACATCTTCATAGGCCATAATAGTCAAGGTCTTTGGGATATAGATTGTGCTTGCCACATTGCATTTGTTAAAAGCAAGGCAAAGTAAGAACCGCTTCATATTTACGAAGAAAGAATTAGTTTGCGCCTTGTAAAGAGAAGGGTCTCAACTAATTTGTGGACAGTTTTAAAAGAACCTAAACCTAGACCGTTTTAAAAGTACCTGAAGTGATCTTCCTAAGTGTAGAGAAATGAGGTATAATTAAATGAGCAGAAGGCATGTTGATGTGGCTGAATACCGGATGAAAACAAGCTGCTCGTTTCCAGCATATTTGCTGCTTTTCTGGTTCTCTTATGGGTAGCTAGGTCTTGAGCTTGTCTTTGCTTCTGATAGTGCTTTTGTTACCAGCCCAGTGGACCATGTTTTCAAGACCCATCAAGTAGCTCCTTGGTGATGAATGTTACGTTCTTTCAGTTTCTAGCCATTCACTCAGGAGATGCTGTTATTTTTTCCCTAAACCTTCTCTATGTGTTTATTATATCATTGGTGTGTTTTATTTAATCACTTGTTAATTATTCCAGTGTCTTATGTTTGACACTAGGAACTGTGTTTCACCTAATTTTGCATTTATAATATCAGCCAGAATCCGGAGTCTTCGTCATCATTGTCATTAATACTGAGATAGTCTCATTGGCCCAGACTGATCTTTTGAGGATGACTCTTACGTCCTGATCTTCCAGCCTCCGTCTCCTGAGTGTTCGGGATTGCAGGTCCATGCCACCATGCCCTTGTTATATAGGGAACAGTAGAAAGAAGATTTATTCAGTGTGGCCACATTGGGAGAGTGACAGAGAGAGCCAGTGACGGTCCAAGGACACCTTCTGGGGCTTGTTTTTATGCAGCCCTGAGGATTGAAGCCAGGGCTCCTGCATGCCTGGCCAGAACCCTACCAGTTGGGCTATAGCCCAGCCCTGCAATGCTGCTGTTAATATCGGGAACTGAAAGCCGATAGTGTTATTTTGAGATGATAGGATAGTTTGTTGTATTCATTTGCCATACCAGTGTCACTTTGAAGTAGTTTACAAATTTTTCTAAAGTCCTCCAGGGGTCCCGGAGTTCCGTGTTTTGTCAGATGATGGAGGGCTGTGTTCAGCTACTGCATTTTGAGAATCAGTGTCATGAGCACTGTACTCTGCTTGCCAAGTCGTCCATGGAGGCAGCTGACTACAGCGTTGGCTGCATCCACTGTGTGTCACATGACCTCTGTCATCCGATTGGCTTGGAGTTAGGACTGCAGCTTATGGCTATCACAATGTGTTCTAGCATTTCAGCAGGAGTTGGACGCGAGGCATGACAAATATGAGAGACTTGTGAAGCTGAGCAGGGATATTACTGTGGAAAGTAAGAGGACGATTTTTCTTCTCCACAGGATTACAAGGTGAGTGAGCATCTTTGAACTTTGCTATTTGGTGAGGTGACTTAGTGAGTAAAGGTGCTTGCCACCACGTGCGATTACCTGAGTTGGGTTTCCGGACAGGTTTGTGAAAAGAAAGGACTGATTCCTGAAAGTTGGCTTTTGACCTCCACACAGACATCATGAAACGTGAGCGTACACACCCACACACAAGTGAATATAATTTAAAAATTAAAATTTATCTTTTGATGCATTATACTTATACATTTTATATCTCAACAGACAGTAACAGATGTTAGAATATATTTTGGGTTTTAAACAGTGTCAGATGATACTAGCAGCTGCATTTAAAAAATTACTATTTGGGGCTGAAGCTCTATCTCAGTGGTTAAGAGCCCGGGCTGCTCAGTTCCCGGCACCCGCACAGTGGCTTACAACCATCTGCAGCTCTTGTTCTAGGGCATCTGATGTCTTGTTCTGGCCTCTGTGGGCACCGGGCACACAGATGGTACACAGATGGACTTACTGGCAAATATTCACAGATATAAAATAATTTATAAAATATTCTAATTTTGTTTTAAAACGTGCTGTGTGTGTCTGTTTGTGGGTATTTGCACAAGAGTGTTAGACCCCTGGAGTTCTGGGTGCTGGGAAGTGAACCCTGTTTCTCTGTAAAAGCAGTATGCATTCCTTTTTTTTTTTTTTAAGTTAGACTGTTGTGAGCTGTCATGTGGGATTGGGAATTGAACCTTGGTCCTCTGTCAGAGAAGATGGTGTTGTTAAGCACTGAGCCATTCCCAGTAGTGTGCATTCTTAACTGCTGAGCCCTCTCTACAGCCCTAGAAGCAACATTTTAAAAATAGGAGGGAAAAAAACCAATAAGAGGGGGAATTCTTGCTTTTAGCCTGCCTGAGGGCTTCATACTGTGCTTGGATCATTTATTTACATGTTTTATATGTATTATATATAAGGATAGTCTGAAGAGAAGATATTCAGTCTTGAATTATCTTTTGGAGCCTATTACGTTAAAGTATCAGTTGATATAAAAATTTAATATTAAACAGATGTGAAAATATAGTTAATTTCCCATTCAGTTTTCTACTGAGTGCAGCCGTGTCTATTTCTGGTTCTTGTTGCCTTCCTATTGTAAAATGTGGTGCATCTGGTTTTGTGTTTTTACAGCACATAATACTGCTAGCTGCTCAGCTCTTTGACACTTTCTCTTTGAGCCCTGTGGCATTGTTTGCTTTGCATTTTCCTTGTCCAGGCCAATTGTCTTGCTTCTCTAGGGAGCTTCCTAGGCAGGCTGGAAGAAGGAACACGGTGATGCTGGCTGAGCAGTGGGTTAGAGCAGTCTGCAAAGGCAGGAGTGTCTTAGGAGCACAGCCAGGAGACAGCCTTCATCTCCACTCTCGCTCCTTTGCTTCCTTAGCTTCCCCATCTCACGCAGGGCAGAGGGTGGTTGCTTCAGCCTGTGAGTCCAGCTCATCCCCGACGTGGATTCCAGGTGCCTGTAGAGGGCTGGATGCACCTTGTTCAGGGAAGAACAGGTGCAGTTTATTGGTTTTTACTATTTAAAATATTTTGAAGTATTCCATTACACTAACTGAAAATTCTTTGGTTTTTGGTGGCATGGGAATTGAGCCAATACCTTTCTTTTTTGAGACAGGAGCTTACGGTCCTCTGTCCGACTCCTAAGAAGTGCACATGATAACCACACCCAGCTTCCTTTGGGAACAAACAAAATATACGTACTGTTAAGTTGGATTTCTTGTTTCTCTTGCATTTTAAAAATCAATTCTGGCAATTTATGTCAGTCAGTAGGGGTGCTTATTAGGTTATTTATATTTAATGATAGGTATTGGTTCTCTTCTTTTTCTTGCTTTGTTTTGGGACTTTCGTCCTTTTGGTTTGAAGCTCCTCTTTAGCATCTGAGCCTTTTTCCAGCCCTTTGTTGTCTTTGAGCCAGAGTCTGTAGTGCAGCTGAGCTCAGGATGCTTCTGCCTATGGTTTCCTTGGATAGACTAGTATGGCTCTGTACTGGGTCTGCCTATTTCAGATGAGTTTGTGTGTTTGTACATGTGCTTACAGGAACATGTGGTGGCCTCTGATATCTTCTTCTGTTTCTTGTCTGACTTATTTTTATTGTGAGATAGAGTTTTCACTAAGCTAGAGCTTCCTGCTTTGCCTAGACTGGCCAGTGAGCTCCAGCTATCTGTGTGGCTCCTCTGACCATAACGCTGGAGTTAAGCTGGGTTTTATTAGGGAGCATGGTGTCTGAACTCCGGCCTCCTGCTTCTACAGCGAGTCTTTCCCCCATGGAGTCATCCCACCAGCTTCTGGTCCGGCAACAACAACAACTGCCACTACTTCTTCTTCTTCCTCTTCTTCTTCTGGACAGAATCTCTTCTTGTAGCCCTAGCTGTCTGGAACTTGCTGGCCTTAGAGTCAGAAATCTGCCTGTCTTTGCTTCGTGAGCACTGGGACTAAGGCTGTGTGCCACCATGAAGTAACTATTGTCTGTGTGTGTGTGTGTGTGTGTGAGAGAGAGAGAGAGAGAGAGAGAGAGAGAGAGAGAGAGAGAGATTTATTATTTACCTGCCTGTGGAAGTCAGAGGACTTTTGTGGAGTGCATTCTTTCATCCCCCTTGTTCCAGGAATCCAAGCCCGGGTCTTCAGGCTTGCACAGCATGGTCATCACTCCCTCAGCCATCTCAGTGGCTCTGGGTTGGACACTTTGGTCCTCTTAGAGTACATGTGTGTGAGAATGTGTGTGCATGCTGCTTACTGGTCTGCGGTGTGTGTCTCAGCAGTCTAGACGGTCTCTCTCAGATGGTGCTGGGCTAACTGATGCAGAAGCCAGCCTCACCGTTGCTCTGCATGCTTCTGGTGGATAGTTAACGTGGTGAATTCAGGTCTGGTGTTGATGTGCCCTGTCAGTTACTGCAGTGAATTGGGAAGTAAGGGCTGCTCAGACATCTCCTTACACCAGGCTGAGAAGCTTATATGTGTAAGGGTAGTCTTCCTTTCCCTCCTAGCCTAGCTTTCTGTGCCACTGTGATAGTCCCTGCAGCTCTGTTATAGGCGCAGCACACTTTGTTTTCACTCTAAGCAGTGTGATTTAGGGACAAGGGACAGATTGCACATTTATCCTTGCAGTCACCATTTCTAATGTCGTTTATCCCTTGGCATGTGGGTTCAGATCTCCATCTGGGATCATTTTCCTCTGGCCTGGGGAGCTTGCATTAATGTGTTTGTAGTGTCGGTGCTGATGAGTCAGCGCTCTCGGCTGCATATAGGCTGGGGAACCGTGCTGCCTGCCCCCTTTGAGGGTTCTTGAGTACCAGGCCACAGTTCTTGTACTTGCCTTCAGTGACCTGTGCTCAGTTGGAGACTGGGAAGCCCCTGTGTCACGTCGCAGTGCTCTGAAGCACTGTCTGCTATGGTTTCCTCCTTGCTCTCTGCCCTGCATATTCAGCTCATGACCTCCTTAAACTTTCAACTTTTCAACTCATGCTGGGTGTGACTCTGCTGAGGGTTTTTTTCTTCCTACATTGTCACTTGGAAACTCTTCCCACCCTGGAGCTGGACATTGGGTGTGTCTTCACTTCCTGCTTGTTGTCCTGTTCAGTGTTCATGTTGCCTGAGTACAGTGTCTGAAACCATTGTTTTGCATGATCTATTGTTTTGTTTTCTGTTTTGAGTTTTTAGTTGTTTAGGTGGAAGCAGCCAACTATAGAGGTTGATTTTTTTTTTTTTAAGATAATTTATTTTCTTTTATGTGCATTGGCATGAGGGTATCAGATCACCTGGAACTGCTTACAGACAGTTGTGAACTGCCATGTGGTTGCTGGGAGTTGAACCCAGATCCCTTGGAAGAACAGACAATGCTCTTAACCACTGAGCCATCTCTCCAGCCCCAGAGGTTGATTTTTATGAATAAGGTTTTTCTTACAGCTTGATCTCAAGGCTGGGGTTTTCAGGTTTCCTACTGTCATTACAGTGCTCCTGATATGGAGGAGATCCTGACGGAATCAGAAACTAAGCTGGATGGCGTCAGGCAGAAAATTCTCCAGGTAGCCCAGGAGCTCTCGGGCGAAGATATGCACCAATTTCACCGTGCTGTCACGACAGGTAAGTGTGAGAGTTACATAGGGCATGTGTGAGCTGTGTCCGTTTTCACCGACACCCCATGGAGGGGTACTAACAGCTTAAACCACCTGTGTGTCCCTGCCGGTGTGTGCACCATGGCCCGTGTGCAGATGTAAGAGAACAACTTGGGGGATTTGGTGGTCTCTTTCCACCATGTGGGTGGCAGGGCTTGAACTCACATCATCAGCTTGGTGGCAGGAGCTCTGACCCACTGAACCCTCGCACTGGTTCCAGATGAGGACGTCTTTCAAATGAAGTTTTGATGGTCTTATAGCTCAGTCTGGCCTCAGAGTTCCTAGAGAGTTGAGACTGGCTTTGACCTCTTTCTTAATCAGTCTTTCTGCCTCTGCCTCCCAGTGCTGGCCTGATGAACACACAGTACCTTGCCTGGCTCGGGGAAGCCAGAAAGTGGACCTTGAACAGTTGCTTAGTTTGTACTTGGGAAAATAAATCTATTTATAGTGTTGACAGTGTGGTGCTTATGAGTAGCCGGCTGCTGTAATTGGGAACTTTGGTTTAGTGTTACTCCAAAAGGCCATTCTTTTGACTTGAAAATAAAATGGCTCTGGCACTTAACTAAAGGAGTTCTATGCTTATGAAGCACAGAGCTGACAGCAGGCAGCATTTCCCTGGGAGGCCTGTGTGAGTGCACAGTGGCCTCATGGTTCAACAGGACACCTTGGGTGAGAGTCACTCCAAAAGAATGGCTGAACAAGTAAATGCACAATTAACTGCTTGAGATAAGCAAGTTAACCTTTTCTATGACTCCTTTTTGTTGTATGAGAAGTTAACAGGCCAGGGAGTGCCCTGCTTCTTAAAGGGAAAGCTCTGCGTTGCAGCTTAGTCAGGGTCACTTAGCGTGTTTTGAGATGTTTACGTGTGTAACATCCGTTGCTTAGTGCCTAAGTGATGTTTTAATAGCTTATTCAAGAATGTGAATGGTGGGTGAGTGAGTGTCTAAGGTCAGGTAGAGATTTTTGGTTTTTAAAATAGACAGTGTCTGCCCTGCCCGCCTGGCCTTGAACTGGGCTCCATGTGTTCATCCATTTGACTGAGTGGTGTATGTCCATTGCTGGGCGTGCTGCAGATTCTTACGTGGAGTTGTCTTCCTAGAGTCACAGCTTTTGCTTTGTGGCCCCTGAGTTATTTTTACTGCTTGTGAGTGAGGAAGTCGAGGCTTCAGGAGAGTTTGATGAAGGCTGTCTTTGTCTCTTTCCTTTCTGCTTCAGCTTCACCTACTGACGTTAGCATCAGATGAAGCCAGGACCAAAATTCTCTGAAGTCAGCCTCAACCCGGGAGTGAACTAGCTGTAGTTTAGAAGTGTGTTTAAGTAGGAGGTGATTCAGTGACCGCTTTGGGGACCATTTGATTTTAGTGCGTCTGTATTTCTACCTGGAACCTCAGTGGTCATGACAGTGAGCTTCAGAAGGATCTCCACGCATTTTGTGACGCCTGAAACCCAGGTAGAGACATGTTTCTAGCCAGTGTCTGGTGTCCACCTGCAAGAGAGTATTTTAGTCCAGTTTCTCTTTCATTTCTAGACGTCCCTTTGCTCTTCTGTTCAGAAAGTTGACATTTTTAGTCTGAACTCTGTAGCACTGTGTCGATAAGGACAATAATAGTTTTGAACATACTGTCCAAGTTAATCTCTGCTTTTTGGAACGAACAGTAGCTACTCATAACACAGCTTGTTTTGACCCAAACCCTCTAGCTGCTCTAATTTACTGTTTCTTTGGAGTTGTCTTATCTGCTCAGCTCACACGAATAGGACTGTACAATGTCTTTCATGTACTGTAATGGTTTCAGGGTTCTGTGTGGTAGCATACATTAATATTTCCTTGTTATGGTGTAATCATGATTGGACAGATTACATTCTATCTGTCTATCAGTTTGGTTCCTGTGAGGGTGCCGCTGTTTACATCTGCCTTCAAGTCTTTGTAGAGCATAACTCCCATTCCTTTGGGGCTTATACCTGTGGTGAACACTTTTCTAAGAAAAGAATTGAAATCCTGCAAAGCAAGTTGAGATTTCTCAATTGTTCCCAGGCGAGGTTTGGTGTTGAATGGAGTGATGTGTATGGCTTAGGTCCAGTGAGAATAAAAGCAATCAGAAGTCTGTGATTGGGTTTCCCTGTGCATGTTCTAAGAGGGGAATGAAGTGAAAAAGAACTAATTACATAAAAGCAACCTCCAGAGTTCTCTCTTACTGGAAGCAGATTCTGTAAATAATGCTTTTTGGATTTCCTCCAAGGTAGAAGCACAGGGGAAGGCATTGTTTGGAGTATGGCAGTGGGCTGAAAATTTTCACCTTGGGAATTATACACTGAAAATAACGGATGTCCTTTTCATCAAGTTGAAACATAACTTGTTTAAACATCCTTTTACCTACATGTGACCCAGTGCTTCTCAGTGTCTGGGGCCAGGTGTCCTTGAACTCTCCTTGTGAGATAGCACAAGCCTTAAATTTCCTTTTTCTTTTGGAGACGGGGTCTCCTTTAGCTGAGGCTGGCCTCCAACTCAGTATAGCTGAGGTGAGGCTGGCTTTGAACTTCTGACTCTCTTGCTTCTACCTCCCAAGAGCTAACAGGCCTACGTCCAGTGCCCAGCTGTGACATGTTTTGTTATTTGTGTTGTTTTTGTTTTTTTAAGACAGGGTTTCTCTGTGTAGCCTTGGCTGAACTGAACTCACTTGGTAGACCAGGCTGGCCTTGAGCTCACAGTGATCCAACTGCTTCTGCCTCCCCCAGTGCTAGGATTACAGGTATGTGCCAGCATGCCCCACTTTTTTTTTTTTTTTTTTTTTAATTACCTGGTATTCCAGGCTGGCCTGAACTTTCTGTGTGGTCCAGGCTGGATGAGAGCCTGGGCAGTGCTCCTGCCTTAAGCTCCTGAGTTGGAATAACAGGCTTGAGCCGCTGTGCACGGCTGAGAGGTCTGTTTCTGAATGTTGTGCTTTGCAGCACATGGAGGCCTTGAGGGACCCCTTAGGTGTAGGTGCTTGGGTGTAGATTGTGTGACAGGAGGCTGAGCAGTTCAGCCGTTTGTACTTCTGTGGCGTTCGTGTGTCCACCGTGTTGTACAGCTATCACCCCGTCCACCCTCCCAAAGTGAAAGTATGCAACAAGCATGCTCCGATTGAGCCTTGGTCATTGTGTGATGGTTGTAAGTGGAAGTCCTTCGTTTAATTGTCTTATGCCTGTTTCATTCAAGGCACACTGCAGTGGTTAGGACGTATGCCCAGACCACCATCCCAGCTGCTGTAGAAAGGGGTTGATGGCACCCTTGGGCCTTGGTACGGAGGCCCAGGGATGCCTGTGTGCCTGGCCTCAGCTGAACGGTCTGCACGGCCATCCAGCACACTCAGCATGGTGGTGACGGCAGCTCCACTCGTTATGGTAACGCTCTCGCAGCTCTGTGCTTGTTCTAGTGACTTCTCTGTTGGCTTTTCAGGACTGCAGGAGTATGTGGAGGCCGTGTCTTTTCAACACTTCATCAAGGCTCGCTCACTCATCAGTGTGGAGGAGATTAACAGGCAGCTGACGTTCACAACGGAAGACAGTGGGGCGGACAGCAACACTGTGAGAATCGAAAGTTGCATTTGGTTTCCTTCTGTACTTTATACACAGCACAGTGATTGGTGCACACTACTGACTTCCTGAAGCCTGGGTTGCTAGGTCTCCTCAGGGAAGCAGTAGTGACAGACAGGAGTGCCGTGGTGTCAGAGAGAGGGGCTCAGCACATTGCAGCAGGAGTTTAGGGAGCAGTGTACACTCTCAGTGCTTCTAGGTATGTCAGGGACGGCGGCTGTGTGCGCCTACTTCAGAGCTTAGTGAAGGAGTTTTACCCACAGACGCTCTTAACTAAGCGCTGTTGATTCTTAGCAGCAGCGTTCCTGGTTAAAATAGTGGTCACGTGGCGGGAGCCAGTTTGCCACTTACTCAAACCACCTCATGCTCACGGACAGTTGTCCAGCTCTCCCGAATTCAGGAAAGAAAAACTTTTGCATTTTGACTTTCCAAAAGTACCTCTTTCCCCTTTTGGATTTGGACACAGCGTTCAGGCAACCAAGTGGGTCTTTTGATCTCTTATCTCAGATACATTAAGATAAACCGGGTTTTTCTACTTTTTCCTTTGTTAATTTTTAAAAATAGCACTCAGAGTCAGGTTAGGTAGATAAACTGTTAGAAGTCAAGATTGCTTGAAGGTGAAATAAATTAAAATTGCAAAATAAGCTCATTTTGGCATGACTGAAAGAACATAGTCTAAAGAGCCCTGTTTGCTCAGCTCTCCAGTGTTTTCTGACTTTGTTCAGGAGGAACCCCACACCGAGACACAGTGTCATGCTCTCACCGGGGCAGTCGCCCCTTCGGGGTGCAGTCACAGGGAGAAGTGGGCAGTGTGTGTCCTGCTTCACGAGAGTAGCCTTCTTCCAGTCCTGATGGACAGGGAGTGGGCAGAGGCAGGCCGAGTGTGGTACGGAGGGCTGTGAGTGTGGTCCAGACACACTTCTCACACATGCTCAGCCTGTGTCCACAGCTGACTTTCCCCGTCAGCCCTAGATTTTTGGTGCTGAAAATTCCGAGAATTTAATAAGGAAATTTTCTTTTTAACTTGGCTTGTGAGAATATTGTCAGAATCATTTAAAAAATTACTATGACAAATTTCTAACATGCAGAAAAGTAGAGGGAATGATAACATTTGATAGCTCGTATACCAGGACCTGAATAAATGTCAGGAGTTAACATTTTACTGTGTTTGCTTGGTTCAGGTAGTTATGGATAAGTCATTTTAAAGTACATTAATGATGTCATTATCCTCCTCAACACTCAGTGTCCATCTCAAAAAATTGTACTTTAAGCCCATTTTTTTTCCCTTATTAAAAGTTTTTAGAAAGCAGAATTTATTTTGACAAATTTTACTTTGTTTGTTTAGGCTTATTTTCCTAAAAATCAACCTATAACCATAACCTCTTCTATGTAATACCAAAGACCATTTTCTGAAATAATGTTTTAAGTGGCATTTGAAATGCTTTCCTCTTCCACAACCCACTATTTCCTAAAACAAACAAACAAAAACAAAAAAAAAACAGTATTGGCTCACAAAAACCCAGATATGTTTATGACGTGCTTTCAGAAGCATCAGAATGGGCAGGAGGCAGGCTTTGGGGCTTCTCGGTCTGCTAATAAGCAGCTCTTTGACCCTGCTATGTCAGGCCTTGTCGCTCATGTCCACTTGGGCCATGGGCTTCAGGAGCCCCAGGGTCTCTGAAGGGTCTAAACAGCACTAAGATGTGGATGTGCAGCAGCGGAGTTCTCCCTGCCACTTCCTTACGCACATCTCGGAGACTCCACAGCTGGCAGCCGAGTGCACGCTTGTCAGTGTGGTGTCCTGCCTGCCCGTCTTTCCAGCCCCAGCCTGGCCTGTAGTACTCCTTAACTTCACTTAGAGTGAGCACTTCATTAGGTCCTCAGACACGGCATCCATACACAGTGCTGACCACTCAGGCATCACTGTGAAAGAAACGTCCGAGAGAGATGATGGGGGGGGGGGGCAGTGGCAGATGGAGTGTTTTCTTGGGTTACTGTTATGCATATTGTCTTGTTTAATTTGTTTAATCCATAATGGCTGCTGAGGCAGGAGCATGATCCTGGTTAGAGGGGGAGACCTGAGCTCTAGAGAGAGAAAACTTGCCAAGGGGCAGGTGTCTATGAAGCAAGGTCCTGGGAGAGGGGAGGAGATGAGTCAAGATCTTTGGGAAGTTAGGCTCACACAGCAGGAGCGGTAACTTGTCTGAGACTGGAGGCCAGAAGGTAAGGATGGGTGTGCTGTAACAGTGGTATATGTTCTTGTGGTGAAGGTGACTGAGGACAGTGCAGGGCGAGTGGCAGATGGCTCTGCCATGTCACCTGGATCAAACTGAGGACTTTGGGATTGAGTAGGGCCCAGAAGAGCACAGGGGGTGGGTAGTGTTTGAAGAGGCTGCACAGACTGCGTTTGAGGGTGGCTGGAAAGGTGGTGCAGGCTGGCTGTTCAGAGTTCACTTCCCAGCACCCACGTGGAGGGTCACGACCGTCTATTACTCCAGTTCCAGGGGATCTGGTACCTTCTCTTGGCCTCTGCAGGCTCTAAGAATGAACCTGCTATGCAGACATCCATCAAGTCAGAACACCCCCGCACACAGCAATAAAGACAACCTCTGAAGAGTATCAAGTGATTGCTGAGTAGCTTGCAGCAGTTCAGACTCTACAGTCTAGATGTGATGACGGTTCTAATCGCACATGTAGTCCACCGCTCAGTGTAGTGCTGGTGAGGACATTCAGCACTGATTCAAGATTCCGAGTTTCTGGGCGTGAGCAGCAGGAGGTGGAGGCACTGGCAGGGACCAGGTGCAGCTGTGAGGTGAGGGCAGCCAAGGGTGGAAGCAGGACTGGAGGAAGTGCCCATTGATGGTGACCGCCATGCACCGAAGTCAGCTCGGCCCCTCAGCATGTGTCTGCTGTGCGCGGCAGGTGAAGTTGCACACAGGGTTTGTAAGTTGCTGTTTGACTCTTGGACTGCAGCCAGGCCGTCTGGCTCAGCCGCTCAGCCAGCGTAGGGGTGGGTTCCTTGTGCCCCTGCCGCATAGTCCACACATGGAGAAGGGGGGGCTGACCTGCCGTGATTTCAGTACTCCATGGTGTGGTGTGGTGTACCCCCTTCGTCACAGCGCCCTCTCTGTCTCTCGGCAGCCCTCCTCTGAGGACCAGAAGCTTGTCACGTGGAGCCTGAAGATCACGCCTGTGGATTACCTGCTGGGGGTGGCCGACCTCACCGGGGAGTTGATGCGCATGTGCATCAACAGCGTGGGCAACGGGGACATCGACACCCCCTTTGAAGTGAGCCAGTTCTTACGCCAGGTCTACGATGGGTTCTCTTTCATTGGCAACACCGGGCCCTATGAGGTTTCCAAGAAGCTGTACACCCTGAAACAGAGCCTGGCCAAAGTGGAGAACGCGTGCTATGCCCTCAAAGTGCGGGGCTCAGAGATCCCGAAGCACATGCTGGCAGATGTGTTTTCGGTTAAAACAGAGATGATTGATCAGGAAGAGAGCATTTCTTAGGCACCCCGCTCTGCTGTCTAAGCAGCAACTGGGAGACAGTTGGTGAGACTGAGTGTGCATTTGACTCTGTTGTGGCTTTTGTAGATGTTTACAGTTGTACCAGTGTGAAGTCGTTTACAGCTGTATATAAGTTTGTCCACAGGAGTGTTTCCTGCACTCATGAGCGTTTCCATACAGTGTTTGTGTATGTGCTTATTCCTGGTGTTTGCTGTAGTGTTATGTGAACATGCTTCCGCTTGCACTTTCTGCCACACCCACTTTAATCCACTTTGAACTTGGAGTGACAGGTTTTCAGTGGAAGGAATCCTAAGTGGGTGATTCTGAGCATGGAGAAAAATGCAGTGAAACTTGTGCAGTGAGCTTCCTGTCGGGACCCTGTTGGCAGGGTCATGGCAAGCTTTAAAGTAGGGCTAGTGTGTGGGACGAGTTAACATGTAAGCTGCCAGTCTCTTCTTAACTATGAGTTTTGGTGATATTATAATGAGAGTTCATGAAAATCGTGGTCAAGTTTAGGCCATTTTGAATTTATACGAAACAGCTTTCCAGAAGAATTGATGGCTGTCCAGATGTCTCCAGTTTTCTTTTCTCACAAATGTGGGAAGTTGGAGCCGATGCCGTTGTTTCTCGCTGGTGATGCTGAGTAATTATACCTGTGTGTAAGGAGTGAGCAGGCAGGCCCCTTGTCACGGGTGAGAGCTTTCCTCACCTAGCCCCTCTTACAGCAGAACAGCTCAGTGGCTGGAGTGCTGACGACCCAAACCTTTGTGTCTGTCCCTTGGAGTTAGCCAGTGATGTTGCCAAAGAAAACGAAATCTGTGTAATTCAGCAATAAGACAATTGCCAACCCAGAGGAGGCCTCGTCGGTGGTCACTGGCCCCTGCGGTTTGGAGTCACTGCCAGCCGCTCGGCTCCTCTGTGGTGGGAAACTGGCTTGAGCCTGGCTGCCAGCACCACACGCTTTCACCTAGTTCTCTGCGAGTTCTCGGAACCTCGATGCTGGGTTTATTTTTGGAAAGAGTATCTATTTGTAAGGGCTGGTTCTTTGAAAGTGTAATTTTCCAAAATTATTACCGAAAGGAAAATAAAATGTGTCCATGCCTGGTAAGTTAGATTTGTTTGTCTTGGTGATGGTGGGGCTTTGCCTTTCCTGTAAGATAGACCGCCCAGTTAGTCAGTGCCATTACCTGTTCTCTTCGTTTGTTCAGCTACTTCAAGTTGAATTTATAATGTTAAAATAATGGATTGAAGAATGTTTTACAGAAATTTAAAGCAAGTTTTGAATAAAATATTAAAATCCAGAAGCTCATGTATGTCTACTGTGTATTGTGGCTCAATGGTGTGTAGAGGTCAGGAGAGGGCAAGGAGGGCGCTTCTCTCCTTCCACCGGTTGTCGAGCTTGCTGAGAAGGACCTTTTCCATTCTAGCTGATCCTTATCTCTGGCCCAAGATTTTATTCTTTCAATAGCACTTAAAAATATTTAGTAGCTGGGTATGATGGTGCACACCTTTGAATCCCAGCACTCAGGGAGGCAGAGGCAGGTGGCTCTCTGTGGATTTGAGGCCAGCCTGCTCTACAAAGCAAGTCCAAGACAGCCAAGGCTACACAGAGAAACCCTGTGTTCAAACAAACAAAAATAAACCCTTAGTAAATCCAATCATACAATGTTTTGCTGGGTAAAATGAGGACTTGGTTACTATGGAGGCTTCCTTTTTTCTTAAGCCCTGAGGTAAGGAGGCTTCCGAGTGGTTTGACTCAGTTTGAAGTGCAGTCAGGGACTTCCCTTCTGCTCTCTGGTCTTCATGCTCCCTCAGCCAACCCCCTCACGGTTGGCGAGGTGTTCAGGTGTGGTGGGAAGAACTGGGCCTCTGTGTTCTCTAAGGCTAAAGTGCATTCCATGTGCTGGCAAGAAAGACATCCTTCCCTGCACTCTGACTCACACTAGGTGATGCCAGTTCCTGGAAGGGAAGATACCGCTGGCCTGACAGCCCTGCTGATTTGTCCAGGAAACACTAGACAGCAAGGCCTCCGGGACAGTTAGCAGCGCCGCCTGCAGGCGACTGCGCGTCACTGCTTGCGGTGCATTTGTCGGTGCAGTGGGGGCTGGGCTTGCTTTACATTGCACTGGCAGCAGCATCTGTTGGTAGGTTTTCTGTTACCACAAACAGGCACTGGCTCTAGGGCTGCTGGATGACTCAGCTGGTAAAGGATGTGGCCCCCAAACCTCACAACCTGTTTCATCCCTGGAGCCCACATGGAGGAAAGAGAAGAACTGGCCACAGGGCACCACGGCAGGTCTCTGCCTGTTCCCCCACCTTGGTGACAGAATTTTGAAGTGAAAGTGGATTATTTCTTTTCAATTGTGATTTCTTGTGTCTGTTAAACACGTGGCTTTCACAGAGAAGCCCAGAACTCTGGTCACACTCAGATAAGATTGATATATAAGTGATAGCTTGGCAGATTGGCCCCAGGCTCTTCTGTATGTATAGAGACTCGTGTTAGGGCACTGGAGAGATGGCTCGGCAGCTAAGGGCACTCTCTGCTCTTCCAGAGGTCCCGAGCTCAATTCCTGGTGGCTCGCAAAGACTCATGTTAGATTCAAAGACAAGTAGGTTGACCGTGCAAATGGTGACCAAAAGAGTCTGATTGGTTACTGAAAGCAGATAAAATAGACTTAGTTTTTATTCTGCTGCAGACAGAACAGTATTATATGATAAGTTCAATCCAATAATAACAGCTAAAAAGAAAGCCGCTAATAAGTGGTGTCTGCAGGTGTACATTGAATGCATGTGTGTGCAGGCCAGAAGTCAAGGTCAGTGTCTCTTCTAGCTCCTCCTCCCCACCCTCAGACAGGGTTTTTCTGTGTAGCCCTGGCTTTCCTGGAACTCGCTCTATAGATCAGGCCAGCCTCGAACTCGCCCTGGCTCTGCCTTCCAAGGGCTCCACCGTGCCTGGCCCATCTGATTTTTAGTCTATTTGTTGTCTGTGTAGGGAAGTTTTGCATGCATGTGTGTCTGTGTACTGCAGGCATGCCTAATGCACAGGTAGGCCAGAAAAGGACTGTGTATTTCCTGGACTAGCGTGACAGACGGCCGTGTGTGCTGGAAGTTGAGCCCAGGTCCTCTGGAGGAACGGCACGGAGCCATCTGACCAGCCTCTGCCTTGAGCCAACCTCTCACTGACCGGGAAGCTCATGGACTGAGCTAGGCTGGAAGGCTGGGAGGCCCCGGGATCCACCGTCTCCACGTGTAGGATCACAGACACACCACCACTGGCAGCTTTTACCCCGCTGCTGGGGGCGGCACACATTTTGTCAGCCAAACCATCTTTCAGCGCTAACATCCTTTTTTCACAGTCTAATCATTTTACATACATAAATTATACAAACATATTTATTTAGGCTTAGTCCATTTTGTTTCAGTTTGCAAGTTTCTTAGTTAATAGTGTTAGTGTTCATTTATGTATGTAGATATACATGTATCTATATATCTATAATTTCATTCTCACATCTATAAAACTTTGTGAAGTTGCCCACGCTGGCCTGTATCCTCCAGGCTGGTCTCAGACTCAGGATCCACTTTCCTTAGCCTCTCAGTGCTGGGGTCACACGTGCGCACCGCCATGCCCGGGATTATGTTTCGAAAAGACATGCACGTCCCACTGTGTCTCTTGCCCCCTTTAAAAATAGAGTCACATTTTAATTTGGAGATTAGGAAGTGGCTCTTCTCTGGGTGTGCAGTTGTGTTGCAGGAGAAATGCATTTGGCAGTTCCCATCCTAACGTGTCTGTTGGAGACAAGTGCTGCAAGGTCCTCCAGAGCAGTGCCCTATGGCTGTCATCTGGGTTTGTGAGCAGACTGTCTACACCGCAGAGACACGGCCACACAGCTGCCTCACAACACGTGCCAACAAGTGAGGCACGGCGGTGGCGGCTTCGGGTTCAGGTGCAGAGTCTAACCCTTCCTCCCCTGGAAGAAGTCTTACTTGCAAGTGTTCTCAGTAATCTCTTGAGAAACAAAGTGGCATCCTTCACATCCGATGTATTGCTTTGAGAACCATGATGGTGGAGAGAAGGGAGAGCTAAAGATAGCTCGGCAGTTAAGAGCGGAGGACCCAGGTTCATTTCCTGCCAGCAGCATGGTGGCTCAGAGCCACCAGCGCCTCTGGTCCCAGGGATCTGGCTCCCGGTGGTCACCAGCCTCGGCGTGCACACAATGCACATTCAACAGCCAGGCACATACCTGTAAGTGAAGATTAACTAGACATGGTAGGACTGAGGAAACAGCCCGGGGATAGGGCTGCTGCTTACCACGTGCAAAGCCCTACGTTGAAAAAACCAACAAACCAAAACCATGACGGAGCAACGCCCAAGGAACATGAAAAGCAGGAGCTCAAGGATTTTTTCCACAACTGTAATATCAATAGATGCCTCTCTGCCTGCCTTGTCTGTCTGACACAGGCATGTGTGCATATAACACACACACACACACACACACACACACACACACGAGTCTCTGGGACACCTCTTGGTACATCCATGTGTGTACGGACAAAGAGCAGCCACTTCAGATGTTGGAATCCTAAGGGCATAGATCGTTCCAGAGGGCAGAGCTGAGCTACCACCACTTGGAACTGGCCAGGGTTGGCGTGGCAAGCCCGGGGCCGTGGGTGGTGATGCCCAGGTGAGGAGGGCATGTGAGCGCTGTAATCACCCCAGGACTTGCTCCGGGAGTAGGGGTGGTTCCTGTTTTTTCCTTTCTTTGTAATGAACATATTACATAAATTAACTAGGAGTGTCTGCGTGAGTGTGTGAGAGAGAGTGTTTTCTTTCTCTCCTCTTAGCCCTGTCATGGCGTATGGTGTTTTCATTTAGTCTTCAAATTATAGGATGTCAAAGGCAAACTAGTGCCTTGGAGTAGTGGACCTCACAGAAAGTAGCTATCAGGTAGGGTCTCCTTCTCACGCCCCTCCCCCCGGCACCAAGGACCAGTGCGCCACCTCGGGTGCAGGCTGGGTTATTTAGATGCTCCCCTCTCCACCAAGTTGCGCGTGAACACAAATGACTGACTTGGTGGAGCGTGTGGAATGGAGCGTGTGGGGTGAAGTCTTGGGAGCTCAACTTTGCCTTGAGTGTTTCACCTGCATTCCCAGAGGGCGTGCACTCTGCTTGGACCCCAGATGAGCACCACGGGTTGGCGTGTGCAGATGGCATACGTGAGGATTCGCAGGAGTCTTCCTCCTGCTGCTCACCTGCTCCGGCCACAGGCAGCTGCAGTCATGACCTGGGTTTCCTGCGCTTCCTGCCGCCCCTTGGCTTCCCGAGAGTGCTGGCTGCGACCCAGCCTCCTTTCCTCCAGCCGCCACTGTTTGGAAGCACCTGCGTTAAGTCCTTTCCTGACTGGGCCACCGTAAGTGCTTTCTGTTTTCTGGGTGTGACACACGGGCTGCCCTTGTCACAAGAAATACAAAAGCTCTGCAGCAGGAAGATTAGGTTTCAGGACTTGCTGTCCCCGGTATCAAGTGGGCCAAGATTCAGGATTCAAGAAGGCCCCATAGATGCCAGAAAGGGGGCTCTCATTCTGCGTTCTCATTTTCGTGTTGGGGTGATCATGTGCAGAAAACAGCTCCTCCGCTGCGCCCCTACACGCCGTCTGCGCCCTGCTGAGCAGACACACCTGGTTCCTAGTCGAAATGCCAAAAAAACCAAAAGCCTACTCGAAAAAAAGGTCAGCGGCTTCAAAGAGGATGTGAACAAGCAGAAAGATGAAAGCAGGGTGTCAGCCTGTGTGAGAAAATCATCATGGATGGGAAAGCTGGCGAGGATAGTGAGATTCTGAAAACACACACGTGAACATATGCACAAACAGCCACACAAACACACAGATGCAGACACCCCCATTTATACATTTGTACACACACACACACATACACGTACAAACACACAGATACACATTTGCACACATACATAGACACAGATACACACACACACACATGTAGCATAATGAGGTAAGTCATTGTGGTGAGGGGCAGAGCCTGTCTGAGGATTGCTCTCCCTCTGTCTCTGTTAGCGGTGTGACAGAGCTAATTCCAGGTTAATTCTCCTTTATTCACTAATCTACCCAGAAGGCCGTCGGCAGTCTTCTGGTTGGCTTGTCCTGCACCCTGACACTGCTTGCTTTCTGTCTGTGTTTACATATCCTAGGTACATGTAAACGGTGCACACATGCAGCTGTACACGAAATACAGTTACTGCTAAGTTAAAAAAACTGGGTTTTGTTCTAATTTTTTATTTTTCTTCCTGGGCGATAA